GCCTGAAGGTCGGAAGTCGACCGAACTTCTGTAAGTGCGAAAGCCCCCAAATGTCCCTCAATCGGGGACAGGAGTCTGTCCGTGACGTGGGATCCTCCAAGGACCGGGCCAACAATTGCAATCCAGACCTCTGGGACCTTCGCTTCCCGAGAGCGTTGTAGTCCCCATTCACGCTGTCACCACCCGCGCGCTTGTCCAAGCCCCATCCCGCTCGCTGGGCTGGTGTCATGTGCTGGCTAGGAGCATCGCCCACCTCCCATGCGACGACTTGGCTCATTAACTTGGCTCTGTTATTATTCAGCCATAGTAGCGCCTTATTAAGCTACCAAATCTCCTTCCAGGGCGAGTCAGTTACCCGCCCTATCCTTGCCAGCGACTGCCAGTGGCTGACCTTTTTTGGAGACTGCAGAGGGGAACCGAAGGGGAGCACAGACAGGAAGGCAGAAGAACAGAAGGAAAAAAAGTGAAACTAGCTCCATCCCGTCAGTCTTCCATCAACTTGATACGTCAGTTCTAAGGTCGTTAACGGCACTCGCTGGTCCACCCTACAAGATCTGATAACGGGCTTCTCCCCGGATCAGGGAGGCATTGCAGCACCATTAAGCTTGGCAGCGGGTCAACATCGTCTATCTGAGTTTGAACCATCGTTGCTATCCCACCGTCATTCTCTCATGACAGGTCCAAGTCAAGCTTCCGGATTTGGGGCCTGGATTTTTCTCTAGACCCGCCTGTCCAAGTTTCCTGGGACTACAGAGTGCCACCCGACTTGTCCGAAAGAATCAAGACAGCCCGTTCGCCAAGACCGACCTTCCCTGGATGCAGCCCATTCCCCAGCGTTGGGGGCATTATGCGCAGAGACCCAGAGAGAAGCTGCCACTGGCATCTCAACATTGGAAAACGGGGCCGCTGTCCCCGTTCTTGCGGTCTTCTCCTGGTGCTCAACGACACCCATGGCGCACGTCATGGAGCCGATCAGGAATAATACCTCTAAACATGTAGACTTTGGGTAGCAACCGCTTGGCCCGCTCGTCGAACCGAATGCGGATATGAGCAAGGAGGCTCGGAGCGATGCCAAGAATCTGGCAGTATAGGGGAGGGGGAAGCTTGGAGAAAAAAAGTAGACGTCTGATGGTATTGTCGTGGCCATGATAAATAAGACTCGTAGGACCGTCCCTTTTGCTGATTACCCGGCCTGGAGATTCACCACACACGTGCTCACCGTCATCACTCACTTACATTCGCTCATTATCTGACAACATGCGTGCTGCTCTCATCTCCGCCCTCGCGGCCGGCGCTGCCGCCACCCGCCCGTTCCTCAATGAGCCGGACACCGGTATCGAGCTCGCCCTCGGTGACCTCGCTGTCGGTGCTCTTTCCAACCTCACCCAGATGGTCGGCCTTCCCGACTTCGAGTACGCCGCTCGCAACTACCTCCCCATCAAGAACTACACCTACTACCGCAACGGTGCCGCCGGTGAATGGTCTTACCGTAACAACCTCGAGGTCTTTGGCCGTTACCGCCTCCGCCCTCGCACCATGGTTGACATCACCAACATTGAGTCCACCCTCAAGTAAGTCCGAGCTTCTAAGCTTCCCATTCAGACGAACCCTCCTTGGTTGGGTTTTTGGTATTCTTGCAGATCGCTGACTCGCGCAGCACCACTATCCTGGGACACAACTTCTCTGCTCCCATCTTCATCAGCCCTGCTGCCCGTGCTGACTACGCTCACGCTGACGCTGAGCTCAACCTTATGAGGGCCGCTGCTGCGGAGAACATCCTCTACATGCCCGCCCTCTACGCCGCCAAGACCATTGAGCAGATCGCTGAGGTCAAGGCCGAGGGCCAGGTCGCTTTCCAGCAGGTGTACCTCACCACCAACGACACCGCCACCCAGGTCCTCTTCGACCGCATCAAGGCCTCCGGCGCCAACGGTATCGTCTACACCGTCGACTCCGCCGCCGATGGTAACCGCCACCGCGCTGCTCGCTTCGCTGTCGGCTCCGCCGACTCCGACTACTCCCTCATCACCTGGGACGAGTACCGCAAGCTCTCCAACATGACCGACCTCCCCATCATCATCAAGGGCATTATGACGGTTGAGGACGCCGAGGCCGCCATCGAGAACAAGGTCCCTGCCATCATCCTTTCCAACCACGGTGGTCGTCAGCTTGACGGCTCCCCCTCTTCCCTCGAGGTCGCCCTTGAGATCTACGAGAAGGACCCTGAGATCTTCCAGAAGATCGAGGTCTACGCCGACGGTGGTGTCCGCTACGGCGCTGATGTCCTCAAGCTTCTTTCCCTCGGTGTTAAGGCTGTCGGTCTTGGCCGCCCCATCATGTTCTCCAACATTTTTGGCCAGGAGGGTGTCGAGAAGGCTATCCAGATCCTCAAGCACGAGATCGCCATCGACGCCGGCAACCTCGGTGTCCCTGACCTGAAGAAGATTGACGCCAGCTACGTAAGTCGAGACCATCCTCAATGTTCCAATTTAGAACACCCACTAACAACCTCAACAGGTCAAGTGGACCCCCAACAACTGGTACTCTTAAGCATTGCGCTGAGTACTAGATGAGATTTCGGAATATTGAGGGGATTTCTTCGCTTGATTCGCATGACGTAAATGATACCACATGAGTGCTGTACATACTCTTTCCTTTCTAGCTGCACATAGCTTTTGCCTGCGAATTGATACCCCTCAATCAAAAGTCCTTTATGTTCAACGGACCCCATTTTGTTCATTGCACATTGCATGTGTTGTTTGACCTTGATACCCGGACACGAGTAACCCAATCCCGTTGTTCTTTCACGCGGACAAAGAGTGCGACTGTAAATCGCAAAAAGAACACTGCAACAATGTTCAGAATGGTGAACAGGCAGAAAAGCCTCCCGACTTGGTCGATGTGTATATAGTTTCAATGCTAAAACATGACTAAGTGACAATGAGACTTTTTCGCAAGCCACCGGGATCATCATCGTCCACACTCCTCTCACCACGACATCATCTCTCACACACGATAAGCTTAGTAGTAAGTCCGCCCACCTATTTCCACACTAACAACTAGTGAGCTCGACGAACAACACTATGTGTATCACCACCTTCATTGTCCGTGTTTGTGCCAAGTGCGGCAAGGAGATCAGCCGTCTGGAGCAGGGAACCGTCAGTTGCAAAAACTTTTATCGGGCTGATCCGAAGTGTCACGGAAAGATTGAGGACTATCGACTCTTCAAGAAGCTCTGCTGTTACTGCCATCCATCCTGCAGCTGCTTTTCAGATGATGCATTGAACAAGATTCTTGGCTCCGATTGGGACTTTTCGTCCGCCGAAAAGCTGCAGGGTGACCACGTTCATACTCCTGCTCCTAGTGAAGATGAGATTGAGCATCTGTGTCATTGTATTAAGAAGATGCGTCTGGACGCTGACGGTCAAACCAAGTAGGCGTTTCGAATCGGATGACGAAAAGCTTTAGCTGGCAAGTCGGGACTGAAGTGCCGTTTAGTTTCACAAACAAGCCGGCCCGTGGCATGGTGCTCTAGATAGACTGAGGTTTGCAATTGATTCATGAGTTCGCAAAATTCGAGAATCGAACTCGTAAGTATTGTCGTGATCCTATGTGGCATACTTAGTGACTAAAATGCTCCGTCGAGAAACGCAATGGGATTACTAGCATGTGATTAGATGTAAAGGGGTTGAACTTCGATATGAATCAGAACTAGAAGAAAATCATATTTTCACCTAGCACTTAACTATCACGCTGATTGATATACACTGACGAGGCTCGTGACAGTACAGAATGACGTTTACCTGCGTACCTAAACTAGTCAACATATTATGACAACATCCTCTCTAACCTATTAACCAGCGAGAATACTTGTCAATGTTATATGAGCTACGATTATTGAGCTTAGCACATCGATTTACTTGGTAGTAAAGTGGATTGTGGGCGGCCGCTTTGATAGAGCCGCAAAACCCGAGTCTAAAATGCTCCAGTTCCGTTCAAGACTGACGTTGAACTCCCGCGTGAGACTCCACTCGGCAATGCTTAACCTGTGGGGCCATTCATAGATGTGCACTACCTTACTCTTTTGGCATCGTCGATACATGAACCGAAACAGAGATTAAAGAACGATAGCCTTGCATCCCATAGGCTGATCATGATCGGAGAAAAGACGCGGGTGGTTCGGGTGGGACTCCTGCGTCTCTGCGATATTGCGTCAGATCTGGTTATTCGGCATCTTATTCCGTTTAGATTTCCACTTCCCGAGACCTGCTCGGCTCTCGGCACCATCAACGGATACATCTTGCCAATTGAGCAGTCTCCCTAGATTTTGACAAGAAGTATGGAGAACTGTTGAGTGAGCTCGAGTCTGAACCAAGGTTCATGGAAATACACTGTAGAGCAAATGCCATGTACTACCTCATGGCTCACAGTAGAGAATTTCTGCAAGATCCTTATTGAGGTCAAACGCGTGCACCTGAACTAACCGCCAGGCTGCTGCCATCTGAACACAACGTTGCCGTATAACTTCATCAGTCACCCGTGAGAAGACGCGTGTATGTTCACCTGTACTAGCAGCAAGCTTGTTGCCGCTAGGTCTTTCAGCAATGACTTTTAATCCGACACTCGCATTGCACTATCTAAAAAAGGCCGGGGTAAGCGGGGGCAACTCAGCAGTTACGCACAGCGCTTGCTAGTGAAACATGGGTTTGCGGATCGTCGGACAAACTTTCGATACCGAAGGACAGAAACTCTGTACAGAGCGAATTAAAAAGAGGCAGCACCATCTTTTTTCGCTCCCGTATCTACGAGACATATGCAGCCCTCCGCATCTCACGAAGCAAGAAAGCTCCGCGTCACACCTCCTTTCCGGCCAGTATTGTAGTTCTCCGTCTCGCACTTACAGCGCCGGCTGTTCGTTCGGACCCGCTGGGATCGTCGGCCCTTCTCTCGCCTAGGAAAACATGGCCACCATCCCACCCGGAGTCTCGGGGCCGGACTCGATGTCTCCCGACAGTGACCAGCCAGGTACCGGTCGGCGCCTCATTGCCTGCGTGGCATGCCAAAAGCGGAAAGTCAAGTGCAGCCGGGTGTTTCCTTGTGCAAACTGCATCAGGGTATGTCGAGTTCCGTCGGGTGGCTCCGCGCTTAGTAGGACTTGAGGCTGATGAGCTACTATCAGTCATCCAGTCAATGCATCCCTGGGACACCGGCTCCTCCGCGAGGCAGGAAGCCTTACAACCAGGCCCTCAAAGCACGCCTAGCACGATGTGAGCAACTTTTAAGTGGTCAAGCTTCAGCTGCAGCCGCAAAGGCTTCCCCGAATGCTGTCACCACGCCAAAGACATCGCAGTCTCAAAGTCCGGCAGACCCTTCCCCGGTCTCTAAATGGACCCCGGAAGGGAAGTTGGTAGAAGATTCAAATGGCAAGCTTGCTTTTATGGATAACTACCTCCTAGGGCTGGTCAACGAGGAAGTACGCCATTCTCCACACATGTCGTTCGACATCAAGCCACTGACATTGCATACCTTACTGCAGCTTCGAGCTATGGATGAGCTCATCAACCTGGATGAGAACGAACGCAGTAGTCCACTTGATAGCAGGCCTTCTGACCCAAACACAGATCTCCTCCTTGAAGATGACGCCTCTAATTCCTCAGTCCTCGACGCTTGGCCAGGCGCCGCACTTGTCTTCAAGCTGTGGCAGATATTCCTTGACAGAGTTAATCCCTTCACAAAGGTGATTCATGTTCACAGCTTTCAACCTCACGTCGTGGAAGCTACGAATGGCACGCAAGGCCTGCCTGAAAATATCATGGCACTCCTGCTGTCCATCTTTCTAATGGCAGTAGTTGCCATGTCTGAGGAGGAATGCTTAACGACGTTGAAGAAGACTAAGGAAGCTGCCGTAGCGTCGTTTTCCTCCGGCATCCGCCAAATAATGAGACAGCTCAACTTCATGCGGACTAACGATATAGTTATTCTCCAGTCGCTCTGCCTGTACTTGGTAAGTTTGGTAACTATGACCCTACAGCCCGGGAAATTGGAGTAAGATGCTGAGTTTATCGCCAGTATTCCTTGCAAGACCGATATGACCGCCACAGCTCGTGGGTCTTCAGTGGCACCGTTATACGAATCGCTCAAAAGATGGGGCTCCACCGAGACGGCGATGTGCTTGGCCTAAAGCCCTTTGAATCAGAGATGAGGCGCAGGGTTTGGTGGCAGCTGGTATCACTCGACGCAAAGTTCGCTTTGTTCTCCGGCTTTGGTCACTCACTGCTTCCCCGGGACTGGGATGCCAGGGAGCCGAGCAACTTGAACGATGCGGACATTTTTCCGGCCGCTACGCAACCAACGCCGGACCGTGATGGACCCTCGGAGATGATTCTGTGTTTGGTCCGACACAAAATCACCAAGTTTCTAGTCGATACGCCCGGCCTCGAGCCGGTGAAGATGATGGGCGAGCTGAACGAGTCCAGCGGTGCTCCTCCAGTGGCAGGCGGTACGAGAGAACAACAGATGAGCTACTACCTCAGCCATTTCGAGCTGTTAGAACACAGCCTTCAGCACATCTTGGACAACCGATGCAACCCCCACGCGGGGCCGGTCCATGTCATGGCTCAAGGGCTCATATCAGCTCTTCTCGTACAGAAACGCCACTTGATCAAGAGCATTAGCGATGGACCTAGACCTGACGCCGTGTTTCAGAGTGGAGAGGACAATGCTTTCATGTGGGCTGTCTCAATGCTTGAGCATACGGCGTTCCTGTATTCTTCCTCGGAGGACACGGGTTTTCTCTGGTTCGCTGATTTCAACTTCCAATACGACGTACTACTCTACGTTGTGGTGCTTTTGGGACAAAGACTCGAAGGACCAATTGCACAACGTGCCTGGGAAAAGATTGAAATATTCTTTCGGTTCCGGCCTGGGTTATTCAACGTCTCCGAGAAATCCTGCGCGACTCTGGCACATTTCCTACTTCGAGCTTGGTCGAAGAGGTTGGATCTACTCACCAGATCGGGTTTCCCGGGAGAATCCCCGGAATGGATCAGTAAGCTACGAGCCTGTGTTGAAAATGTTGTCCAGGACGGCAACAATCCTCTGGGCTCGCTGAATCCTCAAGAAACAACTCCAGTCAACACGCAGGTGTGGGCACAGGCGTTAGAGGCTGAAGGAGTGCCGCCTTTTTCATACATCGGCGTTGGTCGGGGTCATTTTCCGAATCTTGAAACTTCCGCATGGTCTTTCTTGGAGACCATGAATGGAAGGGAGAGCGAAGACCAGCCGGGAGATTCGGTATTCCCAGTTGCTCTATGAGGCCCTTGAGGATGCCTGAGTGAGCAGAGAGTTGATTTTTGGACCTTGGGAAGCGATCGGCAGCACGTAAATATAGATAGATATCATGGCATTAATGACAGTTGACCAATATGCATTAGAGGCTAATAAGTTTCTGGCATAGCTGAGCACTTGCTGACTGTATGGTTCGGTGCTGCCGCTACTCAGAGTGAACATTTCACCAGCTGCAACTGAATGAATGCGATAGCTACCATGCACCCAGAGCTAGCTGAGAACAACATGAGTGGTAAGGGTCCAGTCCAGGGCCCAAAAGAGTATCAGTTGCGCAAGGGGGAATGCTGATTTCGTTCGGACACCCGGAAGTGAATATTTTTCCGGTTCTCCGGGAAAGTTGTTCCGAAATTTGGTCGTATATATGGGCCCCACTTCAGTCCGCTCCGAACCCCACCCCGAGAGTAGTGGGGCATTGGTGATCCGACGGCCGGCTCATGCATTCCTTTGCCAATGTCCTTACGGTGCGTTGGCCCTCGGGGTTGGAAGACTGGAACTAGTGCCCAGCGGAGTTTTGGCCCTTGCAGAGAGCTTTGTCACGGAGTTTTGCTACTCTCCTAGTGGCCCATATTTGGCTGCTAATGGGAGGGTCATGCTATGAAACGCGAAATGTCGATATAAGTAGCAGGTGATTTGCACATTCGTGTAGACTACCTAATAGGCGAGTTCGAACATAGCTCATCGCAATCAGGGAAGATGGCAATTGATACGACTAAAATTTTGGCCAATTGGCCGACCTTCGCGGCCAAGGTGTTGGACAGCTTGGCACAAATAAGTCGAGCGCAGATGTTTGTTGTAGCATTGGTTCTCGTAAGTCGATTATTGCTTACTCGTATCATGAGATGTACAAGTTATCAATAACGACTGAACTCACCTGTTACAGATTCCAGTTTATTTCGTCATCGGATCCATATACAATGCGTACTTCCATCCTCTAGCCAAATTCCCCGGGCCGCTTTATGCCCGCTGCTCGAACATACCATACATGGCGGTGCAGACAAGGGGAGCAATGCTCCCCTGGCTCAGCTCTCTGCACGACCAGTACGGCGATGTTGTACGAATCGGAGCCTCCAGACTTAGCATTATTAATGGCCAGGCTTGGAAGGACATCTACGCCCATAAGACGGGAGGCAAGAAAAGCTTCCCCAAAGACCCACGCATGTACGGCAGCGATCCCAATGGCCACCGCAACCTAATTACGACATTGCCCGATTCAGACCACAGCCGTCTCCGAAGAGTCTTTTCGCCAGCGTTTTCGGAAAGAAGCCTCAAGGCTCAGGCACCACTGATTTTGTCGTACGTCGACCAGCTCATGGGGAATATCCGCCGTAGCATCCAGACAGATTCAAACGCCAAGTTCGATATGGTGAAGCTGTACAACCTGACGACATTTGACATCATGGCGAAGCTGGCGTTTGGAGAATCGCTTGGCCTTCTCGCCAACTCGGAATACTCAGAATGGGTCGCCAACATCTTCGATAACCTCAAGAACAACGCCATCGCCCAAGTTGGTCGCGAGTGGTCATGGCTGGGTAACATCGTCCAGCTAGTTACACCACCGAAGCTCAAGAAGGCCGCCGACATGCACTTCAGGCATGCCATTGAACGAGTCGACCGCAGGCTTGAAAAGGACACCGACCAGGCTGATATCTGGAAACTAGTACTTAGTCAGCCCGAGGGGAAACAGATTGATAAGTTCGACATGTACAACAACGCTTCTGTCTTCATGGTCGCTGGATCCGAGACCACGGCAACAATTCTCAGTGGCGTCACATACTTGCTCCTCCGGAATCCCGACAAGCTGGCTCGTCTTGTCAGCGAGATCCGTGAGGTAAATTCTGAAGACGAGTTGGATATTCAGAGACTTTCTACGTTGCCGTACATGACGGCCGTTCTCAATGAGGCACTGCGGTGGTATCCCCCAGTCCCTGTTGGAGTCTGGAGAGAAGTTCCCGAAGGCGGCAGCGCTGTTGCTGGACACTGGATCCCGGAGAAGGCATGAAGTGCTGAGGCTCACCTCATCATGGACAAAAGTTGCTAACTTCGCATTCTAGACTCGCGTTTCCGTCCCGCAGTTCCCTGCGAACCATTCGCCCCGCAACTTCAAGGACCCCGAAGCATTCGTCCCTGAACGGTGGATTCCAGGGCCAGAGTATGAGCCAAACACGAAAGAAGTTGTGCAGCCATTCTCTCTCGGCCCTCGTAACTGCATCGGAATCAAGTAAGTTGTCTTCCTCCTCCGGGTTACAGTAGTTTCAGCCGGCTGACCATGACTTTTCCGGTCTTAGTCTCGCTTGGCACGAAATGAGACTCATTCTGGCTAAAACGCTCTGGAACTTTGACCTCAGCCTTTGCCGAGAGAGCGAAAATTGGTCGGATCAGAAGGCCTACATTCTCTGGGAGAAGCACCCGCTGATGGTAAACATCGAGTCCGTGCGATGAAGTCCCCTCCCAAAGCGGTCCGAGAGCTAGAATTATTTCAGTTTGGAAATCCGAGTCACGAGTGTAAACTAGGCAGAAATAGATCTGAGAAAGGGAGCCAATTTTGATAGAAACATTCTAGACTTACGATACAATTGAGCCGCCCTTTCATGTCTTGCATCCATCCGACCTATGAGTGTTCATCATATACTAGTCAGAGTTGCCAGCCATGCGACGTGATGTTAGTACACGGTGGAAACGGATCATGGGGGCGGAGCAACTCGACTACGTCATGCTCTTCCTATTTAGGACACCAATCCAACATCAACTGGAACCATCATACACTGAGTAAACCCCATTCAACCCGTATCTTGAACACCTCAACCGCAAAGTTCCTCCACGAAATCCCAGAGCCGCAGCCAACGACATTCTTATGGCTATCCAGGACAAATCGAAAGCATCAACAACGCCGGCGACGATCAAAGTCAGCGACCGAGCCGGGTGGTTGGAAGCATTAAGGTCTCAACGGCCCGTTCTCGTCCACCTCAATGCCGACACTACATGGCTCATTCAGCTGCCGTATCCCCCGTCATCGGCCCCGCCTCCCGGTCGAAAACGCTTTAATGTTCTCATCGACCCGTGGTTGCAAGGCCCGCAATCTGACGTCGCGTCATGGTTCTCTACACAGTGGCACCTTGTCGAACCCAGCCTGAAAACCATGGACCAGCTCAACTCAATTCTTGCCGGCTTTGAAGACGGCTCCGAGAGTCCAAGAGTCACTGATAAATCATATATCGACGTTGTAGCCATTTCGCACGAATTCACCGATCATTGTCACCAGGCGACCTTGGAAGAGCTTCCCAAGTCAACACCAGTGTTTGCCACCGATAAAGCTGCTGACCTCATCCGCTCATGGAGTCACTTTTCTTCCGTCACCACTACCCCTGGATTCTCCTCCGGAACGAAAGATTGGAAGTCTGATCTGAGCATTTCAGGCCTTCCGCCATGGGTCGGCATTGGGCGGGTCATCACCGAAGGAAACGCCCTGTATTACCACTCGGCCATTATGATCGCCTTTGACTCGGGAACTCCAGAGACGATATTATACTCCCCTCATGGTATACAAGCAACAGACTTAGAATGCATTCGCAAGTCTGGGTTCTCGACACTCGCTTTACTTCATGGCCTTCACGACGTTCGCATCTGGATGACAAAGCAGCTGAACTTGGGAGCTCTGAATGGCATCCAAGCTGTGGCTGAGACTGGAGCCCGGTACTGGGTCGCGACCCACGACGAGGCAAAGAAGGGCGGTGGTCTCATCGCACCACTGCTTATGCGTACGCAGTATACGCTTAAACAGGCTGTTGAGGCTGAAGAAGCAAGGATGCAGGGCAAAGTCCCAGAATACGATTTCGTTGAGCTCGGCTCAGGGGATGGACTGATTCTGCAGTAAATGAGCTAAGACTGAAAGTCTTGCTATGTTGATGGAGCAGTCGTGCTCAATCGGAAAATGGCACAACCCGATCACATACTGGAGGCCGACATAAGTTACATGTGAAGATGAAGTATCTCAGTATGTCTCCCAGTCTCACACCAGAGATTTTGACGATTTTTTCTCTGCATTGAGCTTATGTTAAGTAGCACCGCAGCAATAAATTAGGACACACATTTGGAAGTTACCAGAACAATAGCCCCTCTTGAATGTACGATAATTATCTTGTCAGAATGACCAGAATGGGCTGCTTGAGAAACCTTTCGCGTGTCGGCAGGCGAGCAAGCATGTCCAGACTCCAGGGGTTCAAAGGTGAAAGCGATCCGACTCCATAAAAAGCAGATGACTGGCGGACAGAAGTTTCTTCACGGCCATCACAATGTTCGAAATGGAAGAAAATCCTCCTAGAACCACATGATGTCCAGAAGCCATCACCTCATTTGGCAGGTGGGCGAGCACGGCAGGCAGCGACTTTAACAACGGTGCCCCCATGTTGTGCCGGACCCTGTCAAGGTCGGACTCTGCCAAGCGCAACGGGCCGTAGGGCTTGGCCCGATGTCACCACTTCCGGCTCGCTGTGTACTCTTATATTCTCGGACCTTACTCCGACAACAGTGTGTTCGTACTCGGGGAACCCCCTCCATGTCGTCCAGACGTGGCCCTTCCCGAGCATGCCGCTCTTCGAAGGATCGTGATCGCAGCAGGAGGAGGATCAAGCATGGAAGAGTTATCGCATTTGCACTGAAAGAATCCTTCCGACGTGCAGCCCCCACTTGCTACCGCTTACCATGGGTCTTAATACAGTGGGTAATCGGGATTGCAGTCCCTGCGATTGCACGATGCGAAGCTGACAGGCGCTCGAAGGGGAAACTCTACCGGGTCTAGGCTAGTAAACTCTGGTTCTTCAATCTTAAAACTGAAGTCTAACGTTTGGATCAGCCAGGCAGCAGTAAAACAGCCCGTGTAAGTGACCAGAGCTCAGAGACTTCACGATGTCGACTGAATTGACACAGGTTGATCTCAAGCTTTGGTGGAGAGTCATATAGAGAGGTTTCCTTTCTCTCTGGTCTGAATGATTTGCTTCCCGCCATCATCTCACTTTCGTTAAGATTTCATGATGCATTGGTTGACGGGACTCTGGCTCGCGAGTTCCGGCTTCGGCGGGCTTGGTGCTGCGTTCCCAGCAAACTATGATCCTCGCAATGACGACTTCCCGATAGTCGAAACTCACCCTTTTGCCGACTTTGGCCCCATTGTGACAAAGCGAGCGGATAAGCCTGATTTGCGAATCTTGCCGCTTGGTGCATCTATCATGAGCGGCGTCGGATCAACGAATGGCAACGGGTATGTCAAGAGTTCTGGCTTCTTGACCCGAGTCAGCGTATCAGCTGACGATTTGTAGTTTGAGAAAGCCGCTGAGAGACGCTCTTCGCTTCGATGGCTTCGAGGTTGACATGGTTGGAGGTCGGAACTCCGGGACCATGAAAGATAACGTGGGTTTACTCCGAGCTTCGTGTGAGTCTTGGGCTAATAACGCTTGATATTCAGGATCACGAGGCCAACCCAGGAGACATTCTGACTGAGATTCGAACTCGACTTCAACATGCATTGGGATACAAGGTCTGTAATAGGTCTTCCGTCAGTATACCAGTACTTACCTATCATCAAAACAGGCGAATATTATCATCATCAATGGGGGCACGAACGACGCAGTGCGAACCATTGACCCCGCCGGCATATACTACCGAATGGACGACATGCTTAGCGACATCTGGAATTCTGAGGACATGGGAAACGCCTGCATCATGCTATCGACTCTCCTGGACACTTCGGACGAAGCTGGCGCCTTCAATCGCATTTTCATCAACCAGGAGTATCGACGCCTGGTCAATGACAGAGAGGCTGACGGTAGATGCATCGTTCTGGCTGATATGGATCCACCCGAAGGGCCACAGCACGGATGGATACAGGCAAAAGATGCAGAGCATGAGTGGGCGGACTACAAGCCAGACGAGAACCCACACACGCATCCCAACGTACGTCTGCTACGAGCTCATAATCTGATTGACTGACCATGTATATCCACTAATGCAACTTCTGTAGGATGAAGGACACCGTAAGATGGCTTACATCTTTTACAGAGCTATCCTTAAGGCGGTTGCACTCGGGCAGGTCATGCCGCCGTCAACCGAATTCGAAGTGGCCGATCCGGTTTGTGACAAGTTTTCTGGCTCAGGTCTCAACCCAGGCGGCAAAACGCAGAGAGGCACTGGCAACGATGATGATGTCTACCGTCATTACAGCGAAGAGATGGGAGTCAGTGATGCAAATATTCTCTCGCCGTCAAATCTCTCTGAGCTGACAGTAGTAGATCATCTGGTCAACGACCGAGAGTGAATGGGATCGTGACCAGTGGCGATTCGCTCGGCTCTTTTCAGACAAGTACGATGATTTCATTGCATGGGTCAAAACGAGTGACACCTCAAACACCTTTGCAGTCTGGTATGCAACATCTCGAAGCCTTTTTCCTGGACTTCTTGACTTGGAGGCTAATGCGACCCAGGTCCAATTCCGGCGATGGAAAAGGCGCATTCACAAAGCTCTCGACCGACTTTGACCCTGGCATGTACTGCGACGCAGGCAGCCAATACTTCATTGACATGAACGGTGACGGCCTCGATGACATGGTATGCATCGATAGCAAGGGTAACGCATATCTGTCCATCAACAACGGAGACGGCGGCAGAGGAGTCAGGCCGCCCACATTCAGACATCTTGGCCTGATCAAGAGCACCGAAACATCCAGCAGAGACAACGTACGCATGGCCGATATTGACGGCGATGGAAGAGGTGATTACCTGGTCATCGACAAGCTGGGCACTGTCACCGCCTGGCGGAACGGGTGGGTCGACGACAAACCCAAGTATTGGCAAGCTTTGGGTGTACGATGGGAGGATCAGTACACACGAGATATCAAGGGTGTTCAATTCCACGATATCAACGGCGACGTATGTAAAAGTCTTACCACGCTTTTGAGCCGAAACTAATAGTTTTGCCAGGGTCGCGACGATTGGCTTTGGACGGACAAGACAGGCGCTACAACCACCTTCACGAACAGTCGCTCTTGTAAGAAGAAGAAAGAAGGCGATGGTCTCAATGTTGCCTGGCGTCAAGGCTTCTTCGAGAAAGAAGGCACTGGCCCCACGCACAAGGGTGTCCCCGGCTACATCACCAAGCAAGAGACCGATCTTCGCAAACGCGTTCACTTTGCCCGTGTCTACGGAGGTTCATCATCCTTTGGAAACCTCGCGCTTAAGGACTACGTATTCCTTGAGCATGCCAAGCTAAGCAACGGTATGCACAGCTTCAAGATGCGCGTGTGGAAGAACACTGGCGGAGGTGCCTCCAAGCTGAAGATGGATGGAAACAAGTACTGCAACATGGTCGGACACGCTGATGGTCGTTCTGACTACGTGTGGACATGGTCCAACGGCAAGATGGAACTTTTCATGAACCGAGGCAAGAAGGCCATCGCTGACAACGACGCTGAGGGCTTCTGGGATTGGAGTCCGGGTGTCATCTGGACGCCGCCCACGGCTATGCACAGGCTAGATTTGCATCTCGCTGACTGGGACGGCGATGGCGCGTGCGATATTATCTACGTCAATCCCAACACCAATAAGATGCGGGTGTTCATCAACAAGTATCCGGAGACAAAGTCCTGGCAATTCACTGAGATCAGCCAAGTGCCCAGCCTCCCCTGTCACGAGAGAAGAGGTGTAGGCATCAACGACTGTGAGTTCATGAAAGTACACTACGGCAAGTTTGAATCATGCTAACAAGATAAGTGGCCGTTCGCTTTGCAGATTTGACTGGCAACAAAAGAGCCGACTTCCTTTGCCTCCGCCCCGATGGTTTCATTACCGGACTCCTGCACCAGAACGATGGAGATTTCAAGGCAGTCGGGCAGATCAAGGTTGCTGAGGGCCACGACAGAGCCATGCTTCGCTTTGCTGACGTCAATGGCGACGGAAGAGACGATCTCTTGTGGATTGAAAAGTTCTCGGGTGACACATGGGTCTGGTACAATGAAGGCGAAGATGCAAGCAGACCACTGGGCTCAGCGTTCCATTGGCGTCAACAGACAGAGATGGCGTTCGCCGGTCTGGCTGCCGGCACATGCCTCTTCTACACTGACCTCTCGGGCGACTTCCGAGCGGATGAGCACTACGTCCTTGAGTCGATCAACAACATCGCCGAGACATCATTTAGCCCCGCCTGTGGTCTCAGCAATGTCGAGGGCGACGACCCCGAGGGCGTTGTCGATCCTAAGCTGCCCGTGAGACCCGAAGACCCCAACAGCGGCAACGATGAAGTTCCTGATGGAATCTGCTCTTACCAATTCCTCGGGACGACACAGCAGACGCTCAAGAATACTTGGGAGAATTCGGGTGCCCGTGCTAGCCTGGAAAAGTGGTTCGAGACGAACAGCCCGCCAACCTGGTCAACAAACTATCTGAACAAGATCCTCGGTACGCAAATCACTTGCGGTGACATCTTCCATTCTTGCGCTGGTCCTTCCAAAAATTGCTCCGAGTACAACCCTCCCGAGGCGTTCTACGTGCACATGCAGATCGCCAACCTGCACGATGGCATGGCCAAGTTCTGGGGCATGATGGTCAACGACAGCGTCACTGCTCTGGGAAGCGATATTACTACCATTGTGAACAAGTACGGCACACCCAAGGATGATACCAACACCATTCTCAACATGCTCGTCGGTCTCTTCACGAGTCTCGCTGGTGTTGGCGGTACTATCTCGGACGCTTTGCCTGGAAGCACAGGAGCAGGTGTGCTCGGCAAGTTCGTCAACCCCATGACACTGTTCGCCGGCGTGATCGCAGTTGCAGCCACAACAGCTGAGAACGTGCCGGAGGTCGATCCCGCCGGACTCGAGAAGGACTTGAAAGACAGTTACAGCACTATGTTCTCCCACATCTCGAATCACTGCAAAACTGCATTGAGTTCCGTGATCAATGGAGAAACAATTGCAAGGGTTGGTGAGCAGGGCATGCGGGAGTACATTCTGCGCCATTTTGACGATGGTGCGTGGTTGAGTTCTGAGTGGGTGGGCGACATGATTGATATGATGGCAACCAACGTCTTTGGTAAATTCGTAAGTTTCCCCTATTATTACAAAACCCAAGGCATCAAGTTATTAATGCATTTGCTAGAGAGAGTTTGCACTCATCCGCTCTATGAAGACGGCAAACAAGAGGGAGTACAAGTTCCTCGTCACGTCCGCGGATCAGAAAGTTGTACCGACTGTGAGTATTTGCCTGTTTTCAATCGTGTCACACCAAGTTGAAATGCTGATTTGTGCTCTTCTTGCCAGGGCAATGGTGTCACTTACATGAACCAAGAGGCTTGCGAAAGCAAAGTGGCGCGTATGTGGTATGACAATGTAAGTTTGCAAAGCTACTGCCATCTTCGTCTTTTCAGGCCGAATGGGATGCTAATCAGCTTCAGAACTGCATTGCACTCGGCTACGCCGAGATCGGTGTTGATAGCAAACTGAAGCATTACACAATCAGCGACAGTGAAGCAGAAGACATGAAGCACTGGATCCGGGACTTCCGCGCCGCCCTGATCAATAACTACGAGTGCTACAAGTTGAAGGATGGCGATGGCAAGTTGGATGATCCCGTCTTCCCGCCACCATTTGATGCAGCGGCCATGATTGAGTATCCAGTCTGCTTTTGGAACTTGTGGTCCAAAGACGTGACTACCAATACGTGAGTTGTCTGCAAGTTCTGTGTGGGGTTGGATGAGGCTTTCACAGCTCCGTAGCTGAGCATATAGCGACTGGTGGCAGTGCCATCTAACGTTGCATCTTTTTATTTGTAAACACTTTTTTCTTGAAAGTTTAGTAATACTTCAAAGTGAATAATTCTTAATCATGCAGTCATCCTGATATGTGAAAGACATTACACATGTCTGTGCAGCGATATTACACAGACGTCTTCCCATACGAATCCTTCACTTGTCCCTCGAAATACTTGACCTAGACAGACACTTGAGATTTTGACTCAAAGTGTATACCGGCCTGGTGATAGAGAAATGGAAGTCTTTTGACTAAATCAAGTGTATCTAAGGTGCAACTATCCGGTAATGACTGTGCTAATCTCTTATACGAAACATCATTTAGTTCGGTCTGAATATGAAAGCTTCTCAAGTGATGTTTAGGCGTACGAAAGCGTTGCCTGGCCGGCTTGTTCTGGTTTTAAAGCGACACGATAGAAGTGAGAGCACCGAGCATGTTGATAATCTGTCCTGAGTAGGCAGTGACGCAAGCCTGAATAGATCCACCAGGGGGAATGATGATAGATCCCGAACCGACCTCAGAGTCACCGCTGCGGGAGACACCGATACGCTTGCCACCAAGCTGGTAGTAGACCTCCTTGGGGTTGATACGGTTGATTCCACCAGCATCCATGACGTCGACTTCGAAGGTAGCCTTGAGATTACGCTTGCCGTTGTTGTTCCATCCGGCGCTGCAGGTGGTGACCTGGCCCGGGTTGGAGAAGGTGTTGGCGACCCAGGTATGAATACTGGGCTTGTCGACGCAAGTGACGTCCCAGGCTCCCTGGCCGATCTCGTTGTAGCCGTGGAACTCGACGCACCACTGGTTCTTGCCACAAGCGCCGGGAAGGCGGTAGAGGATGTCGGCGTGGGAGTTCTCGGCCATGCAGGAGACCTGAACCTTGTTAGCGTGGATCCTCCAGGGCGGGATGAGGTATGCTCACTTTGAAGGTGTTCACGTCAGTGCCGGTGCGGTCACAGGTGGCTTCACGGTAAAGCCACTGCTTGATTGTTAGCACGAATCTTACTCAGGTAGGCACGGAATGACAAGTTCATACCTTTCCGCCGCTGCGGGGCAAGGGGCGACGACCTCTGCAGACAAAGGCAGATGCGGAGCTTCGCGCTTCAAGCTCTCTCTGAACCACGTTGGCAGGGTTCTCATTCTGAGAGTACAACTCGATGTTTCCCAACTCAGAGAGCTCGATATCCTGAGTGGTAGTAGTCCACTCGGCCCGGCGCTCCAAAGTGTCAGAGGGGACGGCTGCGAGGGCCGTCGGCAGGACAGCAGCTAACAGAGCCGCGGATTGGATGAGTTGGAAATGCATATTGAAAGATGGATAAAGTGAAAGTCGTTGTAAAGAGTGATGATGAGTGAGTGTGAATGAGAAAGAGTGGATGAGAAGGCTGATGAGTTGTCCGGAGAGAAGATAGATTCCTCATGGCATTCCGAGATACTTTATACTCGACTTGACGCGGACAAGCCGGAAATCATCAACGAAATGCGGTCCTGAATGATTGACATTCACTCATGCAAGTGAACAGCTCCATGACTTACGGTTTGAAGCTATCGTGAGACCTGGGTGGAGTTGATAAGTCTTCTCGCCGAGGACCCGAAAGCGAGGTGGTTGAGTGCATAGCTGGGTGGAACAGGGTGTTTTCGCCTAAAGCCAGAGCAACTCTTTAGAGTTTGACTATATTGCTCCATAACCAATCTCGTGAAGCCTATGAAAACCAAATCTCGTCTTGCTCGTTTACAGAGACCCGGTGGGAGCTAATGGCGACCGCATGACTACGTTCTAGCCATCTCTAGACCGGACCCCCTGCAAAGAATAAACTTCCAACGCTGCTGAAGAACTTCTGACTATATAGTGAATATCATGAGGCTGTCCGAGTACTTGGCGATAATGATAGTACAGGAGCCTCCCAAGTCTTTTGCTGAGAGAGCTGTGGTGGTCTTTCCTGAACCCCAAAATATGAAAATCTCCGCAAAAAGTGTTCGCCTCGTGTAACATTATGTGTTGTGCAGCTTTGTCTTTACGACATTTCTACCTACTCAGATTCAGTTCGGAGAGGAGTTCTAGACATTAGTGACCAGAGGATAATAGGACTAGCTTCATTTATTTACACTTATGCTAAGCTTTTAGCTAAACCCCGGAAAGACGTTGCATGACTCTCGTCATGCACCGAACAGGCAACACCTAGGCAAGATGGGCCTTTTGAGGCTATGTACACGCCAGTAGAATCTCTCCTAGCGTTAGGATCATTATTCGGTCAATTCGGGCTCTGTGTAAACTTTCGTGGTTTCGGCGACCTCGACTAATACATCGCGAGCGTCACGCCCAGCGCACGGCGAAGTCGGTCTCGAACCGCTCCCGTAATCCCGCAAAGCTTAGCTCACGGAATCGAGCATCGTCTTTACTTCTTGATGTCTATAGATAGCCCGAGCTTCATTGTTATTCCGCGTGCTGAGTAATCATTCCGCTGAAACGTTATTCTGCTTTGCTGCTGCATTTTGGGTACCGTGGCGTGAGTTGAGTGGGCATCCATTGGTAATTGAATGTGAGAACTGGATACGGCAAAATGGGCATGTCGGTTAGAATCTATTTATTGAAGTGGTTGGCATGGAAGGAGTCACTGCAACAGGTAAGGGTTGAAGATTTGATTTCATTTAGAATCGACAAGTGGCTGAATGCTATACTGGGCGGTGGAAAGATACAGACAAAATGAAACAGATCAAAGACAGCGAGCTCAGTGTCATTCTAACACGAGCACACAGCTGTCTTACCATAACTCCTAAATCGCAATAGAATGCAGACACCTGGAACCAGCCCACGTGCATCGCTCCCGGTGATGCCGGGCTAACTGAGGGCCAGTCCACTCCGGGGGCGCGAGCGCCTCGCCAAAGAAATCGCAGTCGAGATCCGACTCGCGCGCGGGGATCCTTGGGGACTTGCTACGAGCCGTCACCCGACATCATCCAGGTGCTGTCAAGCTTCTGGGCAGTTATTTTATTAGGTTTTGTTGCTGTCGTCAGATTTTTGCGGGTTTCCGCGGAAGATGGCTCCTCATCAGAAGAATAATTGAAAGAAATAGAAGAATCCGAGGCCGAGTCAGTTGTCAGCTCAGGCGTGTTATCGCTAGAATAGTCTGGCGACCCCAAGAGCTCGGAAACCAACTGCAGGGGCGCGAGTCGTGCGCTGTACGTGCTGCTGCTGTCGGACTCATCACCCGAAGGGAGCTCGTCTAGTTCCGGGGAGCAAAGGAATTGGGCAAAAGACTCATCTCGGCCGAGTTCGGCTAGAGATAGGTCGAGGGCGAGTTGCACATCGTCGTCGTACGAGACCTGCTGGGGTTCGGACTTGCGCGCCCGCTTGGCAGGGCGCATGGTGTACTCAGGCTCTGAATAGTGGTCAATGCTATCGAGACCGAAAGCGGGACCACGGAGATGCTCATCGTCGTAGAGAAGACCCATCCGGTACAGTTCTTCGATGTCGGGGGCATCTTCCGGATAGAGCCGGGCTTTCGCTGTGCGAGGATCCCGGAAGGCATCCTGTCTCTCCAAGGACGGCGTCCGACGGTGTTCGCCGGGGAGTTTGTAGCCACTAGAGGCCAGGTTGCGGCCCTCGGCCGCCTCGTCAGTGCGCCATTGCCGTGTAGAGCGGCGAGTCTGGCCCCGACGTGTCTGTCGGTGCCGACGGGCCCGTTTCTGGTGGTTTGCGGCGAGGACGAGGTCGAGGAGGGGCAGCTTCTGGTCGGCGAGCTCTCGGGGCAAGGCGATGGAGCCGTCGGGGTGGAAGTAGGCGCCGTTGTAGTGGGCGCGGGAGTGCGGTCTGCTGACCTGCGAGGGGCCGGGGGGTAGGTAACGCTGAGTGAGATCTAGATCTAGGGCATCGCTGCTACTGCTGTGAAGTCTAAGACCCATGCTGGGCAGAATGTTGACTCTATAGGCGGGCTGTTTCTGGTTGGACTTTGCGTGTGGTGGGTGTTGTAAGTGAGTGACCGGGAGGGAGGCGTGTCCTAGGAAGGGCGTAGAAAAGAGGTAGAGTTTGTCGAGTAGGGGGCTGACGCAAAGGCGCGCGCGATGACTTGAGGTCGGTCGAAGATGATGGTTGTAGTATGAGACAGATGGAATGTCGGCGAACAGCAGAGATATATGTACATCTATACAGATTACCTCGATGTTGTAAGGCGAAACTGATGATGTTGGCCTCCGACGAGTGAACTGGGCCTGGCGTAGGCTGTAACGCGTGGGCGCCTTCGCTCACCCCTGTAGCCGGCCTGCAGAACGCTCCCGAAAGCTTAGTGTTAGTCCAACTTGGGGATGTTCAAGGGTTCTGATGGTGGGTTGCAACGGCCGCTGATTGGGGACCAAGTGGCTGATGAGGAGTGAGTCATGCTTGGCGATGATGAGGGCGCAGCGCGTGCTGTGTTACCTGGCAGGCTGACGAGTGACACGACGTGAGTTGTTGCGTAGGGCTTCAGTTTCCCATTGCCTGGGTCATCGATTGCCTTTCCTAAGACTCGCTCATTGGCCTTGAAGAGACAATGGATCTCATGGCTCACGTCAAGTTGCTTGCCTTGTTTCGCGGAATTCTCGAGACACAGATTTACAAAGAAGCCCCAGCATCGGCAGGGCGACTATGAGTGGCTACGGTCGGTAGTGGTCAGCCGAGACTAGGGGGAGTCATCAGGGCGGAGATTTGCCTCCAAGGTATGCGTGCCTTAACAAGTTCGGTTCTGAAGAGACCAACAAGAAGATAACCCAAGTAAATCGTCCATGACCTGGCAGATGATTCATATTGAATGAACTTGTGAAACTGAGAGAAGGTCCCGAATACTACCGAGAACGTTCTTGTTCCGTTCAGCCCATTCGCCTCGGAAAAACCCAAAGAGCTGGTTGACTCACGGCACGGGGCCACCAGCGATCAATTGGGTTCACTGCATGATCTCATCCCGGTCGCTAATGCAGCATCGCGATGAGATGACTCCCACATCCCTGACTTGACAGACATCAATACACGTGGATGGCGGTTCACCATTGATGAACTTTCAATTGGATTTGATGATTGGACAATTGATTCTGCCCAACATGTGATTTGAGGTGGTAAGGCACATAACTAAGCGCGTGGACACGTCGCCAGCACTTCACATGGAGCCTGGAGCACTCATCCCTGTTCCACTTCAACGTCGACGACGCGACGCAACACAAATTGAACTTTCTCAACGTTCGATAAAGCGTCGAAGGCCCATGTCACTTCATGTGACATTTGAAGTGATGACGCGAGACGAATAACACATGTGCTTGTACCAGTAACAAGAACACTTCACGCCATCTTTCACATTTTCTCAGTGTGGTATAAACCCAGTGAGTGCCCTGAAGAAAATTCGCCTTGGCCTATTGATTACAGGCATGTTACGCCACGTCATTGTCGGGTATCATTTCCAAGCAACAGAATTCGCGCTCGTTACTTCACTTCTGAACACAATAAATTTTCAACGTGAGTTTAAGAACATGACAGCATCTAGTACTCTGTTCAACGATAAAGAATAGTCTCAACGACTCGAGACTGACGGTGACGATGCCGAAGCAACCTGAGTCGATGAGCTTTCTGTGAACGACTGCTTGGTCGGACTCTGCTTATCGAGGAAGATTTGTGAACTGGGCCGAGTGCGAGTGCCAGAGTGACTAATGTTGGAAGCAAGCGTCGTCGACAATTGAATCACCTTGGGCGGCAATGTCTTTAGCAGTTGCCAGACGTTGGGCATACATGCGACCACGATGCCGACCCCGAGCTCTACGTAGGCCCAGAGGACAACAGCTACTGAGTCAGCGGTAGTGTTGAGCGAGGTTGCGAATGCGATGAGTGTCTTGATACGCAGGATGCTGACGATAGTGAGGCTTCATCTAGGGTTAGTCGACGATGCAGGATGGGGGTGGCATACAGGGCTCGAACTTACAAGACACCGACCAAAAACATAGCCATGACACCAATCTTCTTCT